TACTAATTTGGGCTGTACGCGGGACCCTAAGTCGTCAAAAAATCAATGCCTAAAACAATGTGGTTGTTAGTTTATTACCAAATGCATTAATGAGAACTGGCACTGTGACATTTCTTGATGCTTTGAGTAGGATTCTGCGTCCACTGCCTGTTTCAGCAAAACGCAATAATTTGGCGTAGATTCGCTTTTTGTGTTAACTGTGAAAAATTTCAGAATTCTGAAGCATGAAGATGAAGAATCGAATGAATTCGATTTGTGCAGGGCGCCGCGGCTTGTCCGGGAAATGTATCATCATAATCCGCAGGTTCACTTTTGCCAGAATATTTGTTACAGTTGAGAAATTGTGGATTATTTACATCAGCAAATACTAATTTTGGTATTTGAATGAGCTTTCAACTTCATAAATTAATGGTAGGCCTGCTGTTAATTTCGGCATCTAAATTACTCTGCTTCCGCTTTATTTGAAAAAAAAAAAAAAAAAATGATGAATATTACGCATTCTGTTTCGTGAATGTGACAGCTGAATTTGAAATTACGATACGCAAAAAAGGTTACAATCGGATGTATATACTCTCTCGTCTAAATTATGTTTTGTATTCGGAGATGGTTGGAGAAGAGGAAAGATACCTGAGGATCATATTCCTTGTACATCATCTGAAAAACGGGAACGTTTAAATTCATAGAAGACTGATTGGTTACTTGGGCAAACTTTCGACCGGCTTTAAGTCTGATTCTTCAACTATGCATATTGCAACATATTCGTTTCCTTTGACTAATGCAGCACGGCCTGCTGATCAACGTGCTGGCCATTTTGGTATTCGTTACCTCATCCGAAGGGATTACCAACTTAACAGCGTTCCTTCGATAGAAGCGCACAAGCAAGCTTTCGCTGTTGCGCCCTGAACAACACCATTTTGTTTCGAACATTGTCACTCATAGAACTTTTGAGGTTCTACCGACTGCAGCAAATAATTGTATACACTGTGAAGTTGGCATGCTGTACCAAGCTGAGGATGCTTCTGTGTTTAGCTCACAGTTGAAACCTTCTGCAGTTCTGTAATTCATTGGAATCGCCTTTGGCTTATTTCTGAAGAAAATTAGGAAAAAGAAATAAAGGCAAGAAAGAAAGAAGTTGTAGTGGTACAAAGGGGATTTTCACGTGTTGGGATAATTTGCCGGGATTATGGTTTTTTTTACAGATATTTGGCGTCCAAATTCCTCAGGTACCGGAAACACCTATAGCAGAAATGGAAAATGAGATTGCTGGGATCGCTGAGGTATTTCGAATGCTTTTTATGCTTTTTTTGCAGCTATGCAATGCAGAAAACGCGTACTGACGAGGGGTTGTGTGTGTGTGTGTGTGTGTGTATCAGGGTTTTTTATCTTAAGATCCACAAAAGCTACAGGGCTGAAACTTTGGGGACTTGATCTACATGTGCGTGCAGGCCCCAGTCCCGAAAAGGGCACTCTTACTCGCGTGGTACTCACGTACGGGCTTCTGAAAGTTTTTTGCGAGTAAGTCGCTAACTCGAAAATTAGAAGAGCTAGAAAGCTGAAATTTTGAGGGGATGTTCCCCATCCCCGTATGTCTCAATGAGCTCAAACCCAGCCCTTGGGTGTGCGTAGTACCTACGTGCAGGCCCGCCAATATTTTTTCCGGGTGAGTCGCTAACTAGAAAATTTGAAAAGCTAGAAGACTAATTTTAAGAGGGTATTCACCGTCCACATGTGTCTCAGTGAGCTCAAATCCACACTCCGGGTGTGCGTGGTACCCACGTACGGGCCCGCTAAAATTTTCTTAGGGTAAGTTGCTAACTCGAGAATTTGAAAAGCTAGAAAACTGTAATTTTAAGAGGGTATTCCCCGTCCAAGTATGTCTCAATGGGCTTAAACCCAGGCTCCGGGTGTGCGTGATACCCACATACGGACCCGCCAAAATTTTCTTCGGGTGAGTTGATAACTCGGGAACCTGAGAAGCTAGGAGACTGAAATTTTGAGGGAGCGTTCCCCATTCATGTAGGTATTGAAGAGCTCAAATCTTGTTCCCGGATATGAGTCATTCCCACGTATGGGCTCGTTAAAGATTTTTCGTGTAAGTTGCTAACTCGGCGACCTGATAAGCAAGAAAACTGAAATTTTGAAAGGATGTTTCCTGACAGTCTTTGCGGCCAGTCTGAAATTCTTTTGGCTAGAAGCATCTGCTGGAAAAGCAGTGCCGTTAGGGACAAAAATCTACAGGGAATTATGCAAAAAATGCATCTTCGCATGGGCAGCCCGTGCTTTGGCCAATTATTTTTTTATAATGTCTTCAGGGCGGGAATGGCATCTTGAAGTCTTTCTTTTATATACCAAGCCTGAGATTTGCCCCTTGTTTCGATGACGTCCATGCCGTGTCGCTTTAAAATTCAGTATGGAACAAATGAGAGCAGGTTTTGCATATTTTGCTTTGAACGGAATGACTCATAGTTGACTCAGTGTGCAGCTGCACAATCCTTGAATTTGTCTGGCGGTAAAATGCCACAGACCATATTCGCTCTAACAAATTTTTCTTTTTTTGAAGCTAACTGAGCTTGTGCAACCAAAAGAGGAAGCAGCGCCGTCTGAGGAAGCGAATGAAGCTGCTGCGGCAACATGCTCTGTGCCAGCAGTTGATACTGTGAAACAGGAAACAGAGACAACAAGTGCTTGCGAAGCGCGTACATCATCGTTGCCGGGCACACCGAAGTCAACCTCGATGAAAGAGGACGAGCAGGTGCAGCTACGTCGACAGATTGTTTCGGTTGGCAAACAACCAAAAGCTCAGCCAGCGCGTCGAAAGAAGGATATGGTTTGTTGTTCACATCTCTGAATCAAATAATTCAATCTAGAAGGATTCCAGGACTGGGCTAAGCGTCTTATAAGTATCTATAAGCATAAGAAGTTTGATAT